TAATTCTCAATAAGAAGTATGGAATTTGAGCTCTGCTCCTAAACCTAAGTTTGTTTTGGCCAAGTGTTTAAGTCTCGTTCAAAATTAGCTTTCGAAACTATCTTTTCGCGCTTTGTTCCGAATATTTTCATAGTGTTCCAAGGCTCATTTTTAAACTTCAAAATAAGGCATTTTCTCAGGAAATCAAGCAAAGAACAGTGCGGAAATATGAGGAAAAGATGATAATTCTATCAAAAAATCCTATTTCGTGCAAAATAGTCAGGCCATGGCCAATATTTCTAGTCGGCCGGCCAATTAATTTGCCGGTCAGCCAAGGAATTGGCAGGTCGGCTAATTTTCCCAGGAGTAGGGTAGTTTCAGCAAAATTCTTGTTGAAAACATGTGGGCCATGCCATTACAAATGTTTTGTTGATACATGCATGCACGAGGTGCACCTATTCATCCTCTATTATCATCCTTTGGCCTCCATTGTCAAAAGGGTGTTTGTGTTTTACCCAAAAGAGAGCATCCATTTCACTCACCCTTGTCGTTATATCATCCATGTCTCTCACCTTGTCACCCACCTCCTTGACTTTGCCTTCCCTCATTGTCTATATAGACGGTAAGAATGTATCAAGATTGAATAAAAAATTTAGGAGAAGAGAATGAATTAAGAGAAGAGATATAGAGAGAAAAAGAGGGTTGCCCAAGTTTTGAAACAAAACTTCCATATACACTGATATTCCATCTTCCATACATCAAAACAATCCCAAAAAATTATGTTATAGCCAAATTCAAGAGCTTTGATTCAAAAGAGAGTGAGTGTCATCAAAAGAGAGAAAAACAGAGAGTTGTATAACTCCCTCCACACACACTGTTAAACAACCCAAAAACTTCATTCCAATAACAATTTTGAATTTTCCAAATTAAGAATTGAGAACACACTTCCTAAACTTAAGGGTAATCAAAAGAAAGTTTAGAAATCAAATCCTTTCTTAGAATGTAAATTTTGCACACATTTTATTTTCTTTTACTTTCTTGCATTTTCTTTCTTAGATTTCTTTTCTTACTTCAATTTCATGTTATAAACTTGTTGTAAGCTAACTAGAAGTGGTTAGTTGAGCCCATCTGGAAGAGGAGATGCATGAATTCTCTAACGGCATCCCTCAGCAGCACAATAGGCTGCCACTCTGGCTTTCTTGTTTTTGTCCCTAACTATCTTGAAACCAGTCTGCACTACATAGTCCCTCAATCTAGCTCTAAAGCTATGCACATCTGGAAAAATCATTCCCTTTTCCAGTACAACTTCTCCTTCTTGATTCAAATATGGCTCTTTCCCACTTTAAGCACTATCAAATTGATTGCCTGGATACCTCATCTCTTCATCATCCATCCAGTCTACTTAACCAGCAAATTCATCATCACTACTAGAATATCTTACTTCATCATCACCAGATTGGTAATCACTAAGTCCATCATCTTCATTAGACTCTTCATTATCCTCATCACTCAAACTGACAGTGCCATTTAATTCATGTTGACCATCAACACTTGCATTCCAATCCCTATCCTCATCACTAAACCCATACACATTGTCCTCACGGTACTCTTCATCTACCTCTATAGTATGCACTCCATGAACTCCACCATTTCCATCTCCACCATTGTTATCTCCAACATCATTTCTACCTTCACCATCTTCCTTTCCAATACAATATGCAATATCTACATATAAGTTAATTGTTTTACTCCTACATTGCACATAAAACATATCCAACACATCAAGATCATTTTCTATTAATCTCTTATTCTCAGTACCAGGCATATCATAATGCAATGTGATAGCTATTGCTTCACTACAATCAATGTGAGAGAGGACTGTTTCAGTCACATCCTTCAAGGCATCAATGTAGCAATACATATTTGGGTCCACATCATATATTCTGCCCACTTTATCTTTGTAGTTGATGATTAAATCAAAATAAAGGAATGCAGCCATATTATGATCATAATGAGTAACAATTAGTTATAAAAACACTACTCCATTCAACAATTACTCATCCAAATGTAACAAAATTGAACTAATATCAGGTCACATCTAAGAAAATTCATAAGTAGCGGAAATAAAAGAAGAAAGCCCCAACTTCATAATAGAAAGAAATAAAAGCCCCAAATTTTGCAAATAAACCAAAATCCCTAATTTTCAGTATTTCTTACGAGATCAAGAAAAGAAAACTATTTCTAACAATAAATTAACAATTAGAAGATATAGAATGAAAAAAAAAAACACTAAATTATAGTATTTCTAACAGAAAATTAACAAAAATTAACAAAAACTTTAAACCCATACAATCAAAAAATTACAACACCCCAAAATTTAACAAAAGTCCTAAATTGCACTAAGAGCATCCACACCAACCTCTTTAAATTTTTAGCCAAATTAGAGCTTAAAAAACTATTTTGCTATTTTAGCTAGTCACCCACTGCATTAAACTCTCTATTCTAACTCAATCCTATTAAAATATTATTTTGTTATTGTACTTTTTATTCTTTCTTTTTTTATTAAATTGATAAGCAACAGCCAAATAATTCCTATATTAAAATAAATAAATAAATAAAAATTGTCGTTAACCGATTGACCAGCCGGACTTCCAAGCAGACTTTCGGTAACACACAACCCCACTTCTTGTAGCAATAAACAGTTGATCGCTTCATCAGAGGAGGTACTGTAGCACTGGCAAAATGAATGAAGGGTATAGCAACACTGATGGATCACATATTTACAGCATTGGCTCTCTACAATAGCGTCAAAGCCATTGTAAAGAGGCTGATGCTGATGCTGATGCTGTTATACTAATATTTAACAAATCCCTATTTATGAATGAAAAAAATTTGGACAAAACATAAAAACCTTAAATGTATATTTTCGAATCAAATCCTTTAGACATACATTTCATAAACCAAACCTATACAACCAGAAATTTCGTAAAAATGAAGAAAAGCCAAACATAATCATAAACCCTAAACTCTAAATTATCATAATTGAAGTATAAAAAGTTCATAGTCTTACCTGAAAGCCCTAAAACAACTTGTCACCAATCAATCTCTATTACATTTTGTCCTAGCAATGGTGATCGAACCAAATCCAAGAAATTCTTCGTCGTTTCTTCACTTCGATCACTCTTCTTCCAAGTTTCGCCTCTCTCTCTCTCTTCTTTCTCTCAAAAAATCAACTATATTTCGGAATAGACAGTGATTTAGGGATTTAGGCTAGAAAGGGTATTGTTGTCTTTTCGTCCTTAAAAGCAAGGGTAATAAGGTCATTTAGTATATGCAACTAACGTCGTTTGTGCCAATTTGACAGGATGGGAGAATCTGGAGAATTTCAGGTAGAGTAGAGAAGATTTATATAATTATTCAAACCACATAAGAGGTCTCTGTATTTGTCAGAAACCTCAAGAGAGGTGAGTGTAATTTACCCTAATTAAAAATATGTGAAGCTAATTAGTACAAATATTTTATTTTGAGACTAGATAGATTTTAAATTTTGTATATAAGACCTAACGATAAGTGCGCCAATTTATTTGCATCCGTAGAAACGACATTCGCCATTTCAGTATTGGATTAATTCAGCCCATGATGATGAGAATGAAGCCATTTTTCAGTCTCTGGTCATTGTGGATTACAAGTCATTTCTGTTCCACATTCATGTCACTCCCACTACTCTTCCTTAAATTTTAGTAACCATTGGCTAATAAAAATAATTTTTTAAAAAATAATAATAATAGAAGTTAAATCATAAATCTATTTTCTTATGTTTTAGGACAATAGATCAAAGCTTTATTTTGTTTAGGGTAGAAAGGATAATACCACTCCAAAAGAGCACAATACCCCTCTATTATTCTTCAAAATCTTATATATATTCAATGTATAGATCTTGTTTGAAAGATCTAACAAAGACAAATCCAAAAAATATCAAAGTTTATAAACACAGATTTGCAGAATCAACTTTGACATTTTAAATTTCAATAAATTTAAAAAACGAAAAGGACAGATCCACGAAAGTAATTGTCGCGACATGTTTGCATCTAACACCAAATAAATTACATCCACATCTACTTACCACTTCAACAAATTACACTTTGGGCTAATTTGCTCATGGGTGAGTTTCCAACCTATTTTCCCAAAGGAGTAAAAAAAAAATTAAAAAAATACCTCCAAAAAAAGCTAAAACATATTTGAATAGTGAATATATCTCCTATCACATCACGTTTGTTGTTTACACTGCTATTCTGATACCATACCAAAGTTGAAAATAAATGCTCATGTCGAAATAGCAGCAGCCCTGTTCCCAGCGTAATTCAAAGCAAAAAATTGCCTTCAAGCGCCCCGAAAGTAGCCAAAGGTTCCCTAGGAATAGAAGTTTCCGATATGAAATATGAAATAAGGGTCTTATATGAAAAACACAACAATGGAGAAGGTTGAGTGTTTGTTTTGGTACAAATATCAAAACCCTCTCTCTCTCTCTCTCTCTCTCTCTCTCTCTCTCTCTCTCTCTCTCTATATATATATATATATATATTTATCAACTTCTTTAACATGCAACCGAAGTTGTGTCTAAAGTATGAGGAACCATAAACATATCATTGTCAATGATGAATGATACAATCAAGGTAATTGCTAAAAAATTATAACTTAAAAAGTAATCAGTAACCACCTCTTACAGCCTCCATTAATGATATTTTATTTACGATGTGACTCCACATCAGACATTAGCTTCGGTGGCTTGTTCCTCCTTTGCTGATATTTGGCGTATGAATACCACACACCGCCAGCTGTGTTGATAATTAATCCAGTCACATTCAAAGCATGTACTTCCACCCCTCCCAACAAGAAAAAACCAAGAGTCTGAGGACACCAAAATAAATCATCATTGTGAAGTTCAAGTAAAATACAAAGGCACTGATGAGAAAGAAAAAAATGCCAGCTAAAGGATTCTTCATACATACCGTAGACCCAACCCCCTTAAGGACCCCAACGATGGTTGTCGTTAAAGCCGAGTTCACTATTGTACATAAGAACATCGTGTAGTTGAGAACTATGCCCATCACCAATGAAAGAAGAACAATCACCAAAAATGATAATGAAGAACTCTGTCCATCAAAAGTAACAAGTGAATTCATGTTAAGAACATAGTATGCAAAATAACACTAAAATGAGAGCAGGATGTCCCAAATGAAGTGAGAGAGAATATATATGCACCCAACAGCCTCTGTATAAACAACGATAGGGAGATATAAAAATTTTAAAAAAAAAACCTTAATTGTTGTCTAAAAGTGCCCAGACACTAATTATTGCAAACTAGAAATGTCAAATGCCACATCATGTAGAAAGAAACCAACCGTTATGTCCTCGTTTCTACTTTTCTGTATGTAAACAATCTGGGTGTTCCTATTGCATGACATGTGCATATTTTCATACTTGAATGCTTGGAATTAAATTGAATACCTTTGCTATGTAAAACACTTGGAAACATGTTTTGATAATCCTTTAATGTGAGTAAGCACGCTCGTAGAAGCTCAAGTACCACAATTTATAGAATAGGGCAACCTTAACATTATAGCCCAATTTCTGTCTAGGATTGATTTTGTTATGTGACTAGAATATGACAGTTCTGAGGCTAGCATGTCGAATAGTTGGAAGAAAGCTAGTAAGTTCTTTCTTCTTTTTTCAAAATTGAGGAAAGCTTTAGGCCAGGGCTACGAATCATAACAGTAACAATGATAAGGCTGCATTGTGCATAGGATTTTTGAGGCTGAAAATGAGGTAACAAAAGAGTATAAAATGTTACAAAGAATCACTTATTTTGGAGTTACAAAGAAATAAACAAGAATGGAGTACTCACACTTCGGACCCTCCCACATGGTCAATCTTTTTAATCTTAGCTCTCCTCTTTCTATTTTATTCATACAATAAACTTTTATTACCTATAGCTGTTGGAACAGGGGCAGTTGAAGAAAGCCATCTCAGGACAAGAACACTTATTTTGGGAACTGTTTTAGTGTTTGGGCAAGCTTTCTTCTTATTTCCTGTTGACGGCAAAGCCTGGTTCTCTGGGAACTATGGTAGGATGTGGTTCAATCATGATGAGAATGAACTGAGCTTTCAAAGATGCACTGACCGTAGGTATCTGACTATCAGATACTGACAGTCGTCTATGTGTGTTGCATACTCGACCTAGCAATCTTGGACAACGGTTTTGATAAACTGTCACCCTGAACTGTGCAGCATCAACGACAATGTCGATTCAAGGGGAGGAGAATGTCATGAGCTGCGAGTTTGACTTGGTATCTTGCTTGTGACTCTTGGGGTGGCCAATGATGGTTTTGACACAAGGACAGAGCCATTGGGGCAGCTCATGTATTGCCCATGCAGGCCGAGCAGGGCTTAAGGCAATGGACAGCACCAACAGGCAAGCCACAGCACCAGCGGATGGGGTGGCAAACAGCATCAGCACACTCACCAGCACCCTGCGCACTGCAGTGCCCAGGCAGCAGCCCACACTTGGGGGCACACTGGCCCAGCTTCTGGGGCAGTGTTACGACATCTTTGTCATATGGTTTGGAGGGTCAAACCATGAGATGTCCTGTTTCCAATTCTTGAAAATGGCAATTTTTGTGAAATTTTTGAAAAATCGTTATGTTTTCTCCTGGCAATCGGCAAATGACTCAGAATGCCATATTAAGGGGATATGGTGTACTATCCATCTGCCTCCCTGCCCAAATTGGGCCTAAAAGGGGCCTTGGCCATCCACGGGAGGTTGTTGAGGGTCTCCATTGGGAATTGGGATCCCCATGGACGGTGCTATCAAGGCCAGGGTGTTGGACAGAGGTTTGGATGTGCATTCGCTATACCCCGAGCGCTTTTCTCTTGGGAAAAATTCATCTAAATCCGAATGGGCTATCAAGGTGCCAACTCATGGCTAGTGGTTTGGATCTGACCTTGCCTATGTCTTGTAGTCCAGGATATGTGATACTGAGCAGCCGCACTATCGCAACTTGTAGGCAATCGATGATCGCATGAAACCTTCTCTTGTGTTGAGCATCATGAGCTTGGTGTGCGGATTGGTGTAATGCTTCTTGCAGACAATGGATTGACATGTTGACTTACTCTAGCGTCACGTTCGTGCAATGCTGTGGGCACACAAGTGACCTTAGTGTTGTATGGGGGCCAGGACCAAGGATGACCCAGTGGCTGGCTGTTCAAGGTGCGCAACAAGGACCTAATATGCAATGGAAACTTGTCAGCTAAGTTAGGGGTTTATGCTAACACATGGTTGAGCAACATGAGACTTAGCTGTGGGAAACATTTCCAATAGACAATAAGTAGCTGAGTTGTGCAGCAAGGATCGTCTTGACAATATTGGACCCTTCGGTGAGGATCATGCTCATGGTCAAGCTTGGTCCAATGAAGCAACATGTTGCTGTATAGATGTGCGGGACTTCCTTTGGGGGAATTGTTCTTACCAAAAAAGTTTGGGCCTGCAGATATAAAGACATAAAGATTCAACACTTAGATGGTCAAAAGATTAGGTGGACTTGGATTAGGTGGAGATCAAGAGCCTCACGGGGGAACTTCCGCTGCTAAAAAAAGTCACCCAGTGACAATTGGTAATGCACTATATTTTTCCTCAATTTCCTTCCCTTCCCCCTCCTATCTTCCCTCCTCCTTACTACTTTGAATCTCCCATCTTCTCTGTTAAGATGTGTCTGTGTGTGTGTGTATATATAACACTCTTACAAAGGAGAAGAGCAAGTCAATTATTTGGGCGAGTAGGGATGGACATGGGTCAGGCCTTGCCCATACCACATAATAACACTTGACATAGTTTCCCAAGCCCAGCCCGAGATCGGGCCAATACTTATGCCCAAGCCCATCCAAAAACCAAAAAAAAATAAAAAATCAACGCCCGCCCATATTGCCTATATATTATTTAATATAAATACTTTTTTTCATATTTTAATATAAAAAAATACAATTAATTTAATAGTTTGGGTCACTTTTTAACCTATTGAAGGTTAGTAGTTCAAATTTTATAACCAATTCTTTTACATGACTAGCAATACTACATAATTTATGTTTATAAAAAAATAACAATAATAAAAAAATAAAACCAAAAAAAAAGTAAGTTCAGCAACGTAAAACATACACAAAAATATGTATATTATATCTACAAAAGTATATTTTATACTACAGTTTGTGGGCAGGTCGGGACAGGCTGAGCTTGAAGCACTCTTCCCAAGCCCAGCCCACATTATAATCGGGCTTAAAAAATTTGCCCAGACTGGCCCTACGGGCCTAAATCATAATCCAAAGCCCTTTAAATCATGGGCAGGCTCAACAAACCATCAGGCCCATGTCCAGCACTTGGCGAGAGTGATGTTAAGAAACTAAAATGCCTAACAAAAAATACATGTGGACTTCTCCTGTCCAGATTTCTAATGTATTCAAACAAAAGGACCACACTGAAACTCTTCTTAAAGTGTAAGGTTTAAATAATTGAAATTGAAACTGCAGGAACCAAATTGAGACTTCGCTCAAACCAGTGTTATTGAAGGCGATAGGTGCACTAAAGCGCCAAGGTTTCCTAGGGCCTAAGCACAAGGCGAGGCACGGGCTTCATCGAAGTGAGGCTCATGTTGACGATAAGAAATAATAATTTAATATAAGAAAATAATTCAAGGTTCAACAGTAAAATGTAATATTAAATATTCTAAAACATAAATACCAACAAACACTAATATTTTATTATAGACAAATAATTCAAGGTTGTACATAAACACGATCATCTAACTCATAAATCATAAACATTTGAAAATAGCGACAAAATCGAAGTATCTTACAAGATAAGCATAGAGAAGGAGAAAAAGATTGAGCAGATGAAAAAGAATAACATGTTAGTCTAGTCGAAGAGAAAGCTCTTTCCAACCAAAGTCTTTGTATAATTAGGGCTCAAAAAGTGTTGGGTTGCAATGTATGTTTAACAGTTTAATCCCTTGTAGCAGCATGTAAACAAAAAAACAAATTAAGTGAAATTAAGGGTAGCAATTGTAATAAACAAACATTTTAAAATTAGCACATAAGTCGTGCGCCTTGAGCCTAAGCCAAAGCGCACGCTTCATGCTCCTTTATCGAGCCTGTTGTACATCACCTGGCCTGAGCTGTTTTGAAGCACAGTGGCTGCGCCTTGACGAGCCTTGGGCCTAGGTGCACCTTTAATAACACTGGCTCAAACCACAAGGACTTACGGTTTAATTTTCCCTTTAGTCAAAATCTTACGATTTACAATTCGATTCGTGATTTGATCTACATGCATAAATCGGTCAACTTACAGGTGAATATATATATTTTTTTTTGTTGATAGAATCGGTGGTGAATCAAACGATTCAAATTTCAAATCACGATTTAGTTCACATTTTATGACTCATACGATTCTTGATATTGTCAAGTCCGACTAATTCTGACCTTTTACCACAGTTTTTATATGAAAAATGCTAAAATACAACTTCTAAGAGTGTTTAGTGAGAAAAAAAATCAAAAGCTATGCCTGGTTTGTTATTCTTTTGATGATTGAAGAGTTTAATAGGATCAAACTTTATACAATCATACCTGATAGGTTCTTATCCCATTTTTTTATTTTTTCCCTGAGGAAAAAATGTCAAAACACATCTGGCAAAAATTATCTATTGCTATTTTGCTTAAATAAACATGGTTTTCTATGATGGTGATATCAATTAAACCTAACAGTTCCACAACTTTTTTTTAACTTTTTTCTGAACAGTAAATTTCAATTCATGAAACAATTCATGATTTGATAACTATAATTTCCCTAATAGAAATGGCCATTAGTTGGTTTGAGATTGAGAGGATTCATGCACACATAAATTTCACGATTCTAGATGGCTAATTACACAATTTAATTTGATTCACAATTTTGCTACACACACCCAAAAAAAAAAAAGGAAGAAGAAGAAGAAGAAGAAAAACATGCCTTTCAATTTTTCAATTTCATTGCTTTAATTACAATAAAACAGTTTCAAGCATTCACAATTTATTGAAGCATTGCGTATTCCTTGCCTAAGCATTAAAAACAAAGATTTCTGCTTTCCAACACATTCAAGAACAGTATTAAAACATAGTGAACATAGGTTAAGATCCTGACCTTTGCAAATAACAATGACAAAGAATCTGGAAACTCTCCTGTAGCTATGATAAGAAATACCAGAAATGGTAAAGACAAAAAGCTGTTATAGAACATGATCTCTACTGATGAAAGTCCGTCCTCTGCACCAGACTTCTCCACCAACACAAGGTACATGGTCTGCATATGCAAGCATATCACAAGCTCAAGCAAACAAGGCTCCAAAATGATTTTATGAGCACTTGTTATTCACAAATTTCAATAAGAAAAGCCCAAAACCAAACCTGGAAGAAAACAGAAGTAAAGGCCATGCTATATCCAACAAGGTCAAAAGAAAAATCTCCCAGCGCTGCAATCATAACCCCAGCAGCAGTCAATACTACCGAAAGAATTACCTGAAATAAGATAGAGATGCAAACAGCCTTATTGATTTAAAAAATAATAAAATAAAAAAACAGGAACAAAAAATCACTGCTGTCTGCCGAACCAAGAGTCGTTAAGACATTTTAATAAGATATTTATGAATAAAAAATTATAAACCAAGAAAGAAAGAAAGAAAGAAAGAAAGAAACCAACAAATGAACAATTTTGCATCTCCTACCCACTGAAACAGGATTAATGCACTGTATGTGTGTCCACATGCTGCAAGACTAACAATCACGTTTTTTATCAAGGTTCTAGGCAGTTTGGTGTAGCACTTCTGAATTAATAACACTTCAAAAGACTCGGAGGAAAATTAAATTTAAGCCCAAACATATTAAGATGATTAGGCACTAGAAACAATATATGAACAAATAAATAAATAAGAAAGTTGACCAAGGTCATAAGGTAAGGTCAAAGGGACAAAATTCAACAAATATGTAATAAATATAACACGATGCTAGAAAATTCATCATTTTTGTTTGGGTGGGGTAAAGTTATTTGCTTACCTGTTCTTTCAAGAAAATATTTCATCCGAACACTTTACAAAAAGAAAGAAATAGAGAAAAAGTTTCATCCGAAGACGTACCAAATCAGTGGAAGCCAAAGAAGATGACCCTGCCGGTAATTACTTGATAAGAACATAATTTTAAAAAATCAGAATGATGGACTTTCTTACTTGCTTACATAACCTAGTAGCCACAAAAACATAACATGCAGAGACTAAAAATTGCAAATATTATATGCAATGTTTTGATCAAGTCACAGCATCATCTTCAAAATTAAAGTATAATATTCATTAGAACTTTGAATGTGCTATATCCAAAAATTTAGAAGAAAAAGGCCACTCCATATTGCTAATTCTGGTCCTAGTTAATCAAGGGTGCCAGGTGGAGTGAACTTTTACAAACCTACCCCCAGCATATTTTCAATATGGTTCTAGACAATGCCAATATTATTAGCCAACAGAATAAAATATTTATCAATAGCACAAGATGTACAATTTCATGATGGACTTCAAACTATACCAATTTACATTCTGCTGGCAAGAACAATTTATCAGTAATAGGAAAGAAAACTATTTGGCAAGCAAAGGGAAAAAAATAGTTGCACAAGCACCATAACATTTGACACTAAAAAATGTTTATGAACTTGTAAACAGAAAGCTCCCCAAGTAATCAATATACATCTTGATTCTTGATGCCACCCACAAACCTGTGTCGAAGGTCTCCCCTTTCCAGAAAAGAACCCAGCAATTAATACAGCAAGCGGTGTAAGTCTTTTTATGGCAATATACATCGGAATATTTACTCCTTTCAAACTTGCTAAAGCAAATGCCACATTTGCATTGTAGAATAATGAAACTAGGATGAGCTTTTTGGCAGTCTCAACATTAACTCCTTTGGCTTTTGTGTATCCCATCACCCGCCCACAATATATAAGCATGGTTGTTGCCAATTGCTGAAATTTCCAAATATAGCAGATGCCAGATAGTATGCCAGTTCATAATCAAAAGCAGCGCTAACATCAGAGAAAAGATAAAGCATTAAATATGTTTCCAACTAATACCTGGAGAGTGAGAAGGGTCATTGACGATGCATACTGCATGAGAACTGCTTTATTGATGAAAACCATGGCCATTGAAGCAATTCCATATGATAAGGCAGCAAATAAGCTATAAAAGCATAGGCATCAGATCACAATAGAAGCCTCAAAAATTTGATACTAGTCAAAGCAAAGAGGATTATAAAAATGTTGCTTGAGAGCCTGGCCAAGAAAGTAAAGGTTTTCTCATGATGCCAAGATCAATATAACAATTAATTAAGAAAAAGGTGAATAAAGGCTGAAAATGCCTTCTAAATGTATACAAAACAAACAACAGGGTTTCCTCATCCTCAAAATACATTATGAACATCAGCATATACATATTTAAACATACATATTACACATGTATACAAGTATGTGCGCATGCGCATGTGCATCAGTAAATATGACTGTACAAAATATATATAAGCAAGTACAAGTAGATGATGACTAGGGCAATTAAGCCTCTTTGAAAAGAGAAGAGGTATACCAAATCAAATATACTATACATGAATTATGTAGAATGAAACACAAAATCCTTTGCCAACAAGCATAAACATTGTGTTTCATTCCAAATGAAATAAATACATTGAACACGGATTAGTAGAAAAATTAAGGGCATGTTCCTTTAAGTCCCAATAAGGTCTCAAAACAGCTGACACTAGTTAAAGCAAAATGACGTATACTAAAGATGTTTCTTTAGAGTTTGGGCAATGAAGTAGGAGTCTAGGAGGTTTATTATGATGCCAAGATCCATATAGCAGCAAATCAAAAGAAAACTGAAGGCCAACATGACATTTAAATGTATAAAAAAAGCACTGTTTATCTAGAAAGCAGAAACATGGGACACGTGACACAACATGGACATGACCATGGTTTTAACTTGCGGTATCAGAACATGTAACGATAGCCTAAGAAGCACGGACAGGTGACATGACATGGACACCAATTTTCAAAAAATGCAGCACACAACACGTTGGGGACATGTGCAAAACATAGAATTTTATATATTTATTATGCCATATTTTTTTTTTATTAGATATGTAATCTATCAAATTTATTAGGGTAAATTACAAATACCCCCTGAGATTGACTTAAAGTACAGATTGTCCCCTGTGATTTGAAAAATTATAAATATCCCCTTGTTAGAATTTTTTATTTAACAGAATTAACTAAAAAAATAAAATTCATAATTGCTCTCCTATACAACAATAAAATTAACTAAATTATTAATCGAAACATATTTCTAAGATCATTAAAAACTGTTAATTAACTTGATGATTTATTAATAAAAGGGGCGATTTGTTATAAAATTAGAAACCTCAGGGGGTGGAATGTAATTTCCATAACCACAGGGGACGATTCGGATTTTAATCAAATCTCAGGGGGTGTATTTGTAATTTACCCAATTTATTAACATTACGTATGCTATTTTAGAAAAAAATAAAATAAAAAAAATTTAATAGTCCTCGACGTGTCCCCAACATGTCTGATCGGTACCTAAATGTTGCACATTTAACCGGCTAAAATACACTTTATTAGTCTATTTATTTATATTATTTTATTATTTCATGTGATTTTTTGTTTGTACATATTTTGTGTGCTTGTATATAAATTGTTGTAAATAATATATTTTACATATCTTATATTAATATTAAATAATAATAAATTAATTATAAATAATAAAAAAAAGAATGATGGCGGCGCCCTTGGCGACACCATCATTAACACTCACACCACCATCCATCACTTCTTCCACTTTAATTATTATTATACATATAAATATTAATTTATTTGTTTTTGCTTTACAGGTTCTATAAAAGGCCAAGCATTCGGCCAGGAATCAGGGAGAGAGTTCAGAGAGCTGGAAGCAGAGCTCCAAGAAGAGAAGAAAAGAGTGGAGAGTGTACAGTGTTTCTTCCACAATTATGTGGAACTAACTTCCTTTTCTTAGGGTTGAGATGAAGCTCTAGCCAAGTAATTGGGGTCATTTGTATTTAGTTTTGTAAAATTTTAATTAGTTTGGGTACTGTTGTATAACTTTAGATTTTATGCAAATAATGTTTTTATCAAATTATGTGTTCACAGTTCATGAATACATGTTATACAATTGTTTTCACTGCCTGTGTATTAAAATTGTTAGACGAGTCATACCTAGTAAGACGGGTCGTGTATCAACCGTAGTTTAATGGTAGTTTAGTGGTGACAGTCCGTGCTAAGCTAAGATGATTCATGGTGTTCTGGTTTTAAAACACAAATCTTGTTTTTGGTTTATCTCGATCAAGGTATATCTTAGTATCTAATTCAATGATTTTCTACAATCTAAATACAATGACTCCCAATTATAAGGTTAGTAGTGGATTCAAAATCCTATGATTTTTCTCATTTTATTGAACATCCTTTCATGTTCAAGCCAAACAAATTTTAGTCTCTAAATTAGAAACAACTTGTCATAATCTCTGCGGTTTGACATCCGTTCTTAACCACCATACTTCAGAGTAGTGGTTATTACTCGGTATTTAATTAGTATATTTGGGTGTGCAAATGATCTCTTGAGGGTTTACAGTGAATATACCCACAAAATTCAAAATTTCTTTATTTATTTATTTTTTTTTTTAAATATTCATAGAGATAATTGTTACTCTGAAGTATAGTGGTTGAGAACGGATGTCGAACCACAGAGATTATGACAAGTTCCTTCTAATTTAGAGACTAATTTGTTTGGCTTGAACAAGAAAGGATGTGCAATAAAATGAGAAAAATCTTAGGATTTTGAATCCACTACTATCCTTATAATTGGGAGTCATTGTATTTAGATTGTAGAAAATCATTGAATTGGATACTAAGATATACCTTGGTCGAGATACACCAAAAAAAGATATGTGCTTTAAAATCAGAAAGTCACGAATCATCTTACCTTAGCATGGACCGTCACCACTAAACTACGGTTGATGCACGACCCGTCTTACTAGTTATGACTCGTCTAAACAATTTTAATACACAAGCAGTGAAAACAATTGTATAACATGTATTCATAACCAATGAACACATAATTTAATAAAAAAATTATTTGCATAAAAATCTAAAGTTATGCAACAATATCCAAATCAATTAAAATTCTACAAAACTGGCTAGAACTTCATCTCAACCCTAAGAAAAGGAAGTTAGTTCCACATAATTGTGGAAGAAACACTGTACACTCTCCACTCTTTTCTTCTCTTCTTGGAGCTCTCCTTCTAGCTCTCTGAACTCTCTCCCTAATTCCTGGCCGAATGCTAGGCTTTTATAGAACCTGTATGCAAAAACAAATAAAATAATATTTACATATAATAATAATAATTAAAGTGGAATAAGTGATGGATGGTGGTGTGGGTGTTGATGATGCTGTCGCCAAGTGTGCCGCTATGATTCTTTTTTTCTTTTTTTTTATTTAATATTAATATAAAATATCTAAAATATATTATTTACAACAATTTATATACAAGCACACAAAATATGTACAAATACACAAAATCACACAAAATAATAAATAGACTAATAAAGTGTACATTAGTGGGTTAAATGTGTAACATTCAGGTACCAATCACACCCTCCAACTTACACTTTGCTAGTCCTTAAACAAAGCAAAACTAAAAAGACAATAAAATAAAATTTATCTAGGTCATTTTCGTAGGGAACACGACTACATTAAGCGTATGCAATTAACCTTTGAACCCCTAGATTACCCCTAGTGGACAAATTGTAGTCTTGTGAGGGTTTATAGGGAATATACCCACAAAATTTTAAAAATTAAAAAAAAAAAATTAAAAAAATTAAGAAAATATTCATAAAGATAATATTTAATTTTAATATATTAACAAAAGAATTATCAGAGTTTAAAATACTAGCAATTAGCAAAAATAATTCATCCATCTCTAAATTCAATGTGTGTGTGTGTGTGTGTGTGTGTGTGTGTGTGAATTATAGCCAACAAAAATATTATTTAATCTCTTAATGAAAGAAGACTTTAGTTCTATCAAAAGCATGCTTCAACTCAAATCTCACAAATATTGCACTCAACAAATGAATCACTAGATACAGTGCAAATTTGTGTACTCTCAATATATGCGAGTAGAATTAATATAAACAAATCAAAATATCTCGCATATAAGTGATGAAAGACGCTAGTATGAAAGAACACAGTTTCTTCAAAAAGAATACTCAATGCTTTAAAATTACACTAACACCCCTATTTATCATGTCTGTATCTAAATTTTACTAACTCTGGGATCAAATAGGACTTTTATTGGGTAAGTCAAATAGGATTAGGGATAGGTAAGAAAATCGATAAAAATCAGTATCTCCTTTTTTAGTGTAAGAGAAGAATCAAAATTATTATTTAATACTTTGAACATTCTCTTTCTTCAACAATATGTACAGCGTAGACTCCTTTCCATAATCTTACTTCTCTTCTTTTTTTTCTTTTTTTTCTTTATTTCTTCTCTATCTCCTTCCTTATTAATTCCTCCATTCTTTTGCTCCTGAAAACCGTGGCCAGTTATCACCAAGGTTTTTTTTTTTTTTTTGAATGAAAGGTTTGGCATGTAGCCTCAAATTGGTTTCTAAGGATTTTTGAGTATAGAGAAAGAAATGTTAAAAGTAATGCAAAAATAGCCTAAATCATTTCCCATAATTTAGTACAATTTTTCAACTTTCATGATTTTCAGGGGATGTAAATGCAAAACGATTTCTCAACATTCAACCAAAATGAAAAATATGAGACTGAACAACGAAATAGTGCGCTTCCAAAAGAATAGTTAAGAGTAAATTTAACAACCCTCCAACAAACTAATGGCTCTAAACTCACAGGGGTTAAAAATTTTCCACATTAGTCATCAAGATGTTCAAGTCTAAATCCAAAAATTAATCAAAGAATATTTATGTGGCTATGTGCATGTGCAGATCATCCGAATATGAGTTAAAAAAATTATTTTAATCAAAAGATAGTATAATAAACTAAGATATAATTAAAATGCTAAGGCAACAAAATTAACAATTAATTGCATGAACAATTAAATTTTGTTTTAAAAAAAAAAAACACAAACACAAACA